TCTTTTTTTTATCTATTTATAATTTATTTTGTATACTAGTACTTTCTATGTATTAACAGGACTTATTATACTGGGAAATTATGGATGCAGATATTTAGTCTTACAGTTCAAAAATAATGTTCTTTATTTAGTTCACCTGAACACATACACATCAAACATGTGTTTCGGACTTGTTCGTCTTTCCTCAGCAGGCCTTTAAACGACACTTTAACTTCTGTTTTTCCAATCTTCACTATATTTCCAATTAAACTTCCGATCCACAACAACCATACAATTTTACCCATTCTTCTTTTGGTTTTTCTGTGTCTACTTAATTTTATTTTCAATACATTCCTATTTCTTGAATGTATTGAAATAGAAATATATTGAATATATGTATTGAAATATAGAAGAAATAGGAATGCTGAGGAAAGACGAACAAGTCCGAAACACATGTTTGATGTGTATGTGTTCAAATGAACTAAATAAAGAACATTATTTTTGAACTGTAAGACTAAATATCTGCATCCATAATTTCCCAGTATAATAAGTCCTGTTAATACATAGTATACAAAATAAATTATAAATAGATTCTTGTGTACTTTGTTTACAACACTCTCTTGTAATTAATATTTGATAACTAGCTGCAAGGACCCGCTTCGCTGGGCAAAAAGTAACGATAGTGAAGATTAAGATAATCACATTATAGCTAATCTTACCCGTTTTCACAGAATGCAAGAATTAGGTCCCCCGTTTCCAGACTAATTAGAGAATTTTTACGTTTAGTCAAACGAACAAATTTCAACGTTTCTGGAACGTCAGCGGTTTAAGTCAGCGGTTTCCAATCTGGGAGGCGCCAAAATTAACTTTCATACCATATGTAAAAATAAATAAAATTTCATATCATAACGTAATAGTAAAAATTCTAAAATAGCTAGACTGTAGACAATGAGAATATTAAAACTAATTAATCAACATAAAATAAAAAGTTAGTGAAATGTTGACTTAATGAATGGGTGGTGTGATTTATCCAGAATTACATTGAGGAAAGCATGCATAAATAAGAATCACATCATGTAGAAATACATCAAAATTCTAAAACAGTCCTCTGTGTCAAGTATAAAGAACTAACTTATTGGCATAAATAAGGTAAAAAAGTTAAAGAGCTATTACTTATTGATATCGTCACAATGCCATGATGCAATTTTTTGTCACAATGCTTTCAATTTTAGTAGTGTCTGCTTCTGTACATCATACTTTTCCCATCAACTATAGTCATACTCATCAACTATTTAACTCAGAAAATTTTTGAATTGAAATAATGTGACTTCCGGTCCAAATCAGAAGTTGAAGTACTGTATAGTTAATCAGGACCTCCTGGCCCTAAGCTTTCCATATCTGGTCTCAACTCTCATCTATCTAACTCTGTCTTGAGATTAAGAAAGGCTAGATGGATGCCAATGAGAATTTATAGGTCTGCAATTTTTGAAAATTGCAGCCCAATAAAATTTGTAGCAAAGACTTAATGTGTACTGTGTAAAAATCAACCAAAAGTTACTCATTTAATAGAATAATAGAAATATAAATTGCCAGAATATTAAAATACAGGTATCCTTTGTACAACAGGGTACTTCTACAACACAGTTTGAGAATTTGTGAAATCCTCCATACAAAATTTCATAATTTTTAAGTGCAAACTCCATTATTTGATATATATTTTTTATTAATTAAAGCAAGCATGCATTTTGTCTCAAATTTGCCCATGGATTTTAGAACATTGAAATTATCAATTTGTTTTGTGCCTTTTGTCAAGTTTACTTTAATGAAAACAGATGGTACAACTTTTTTATCCTTGTCCTAGCTTTCCTATCAACCAGGTATCATCATTGCTTTTAAACTTTAGCCTTTAAGACTGTCACTGTGTTTTGTTTTTATAGATTAATATTTGTATTTAGTATAGTTTAAATAAACATTTTTAGGTAAGTGTTATTAAAATATTTTTTAACCATAGGTAAGTAATCATTTGTAAAAATGATGAAAGAAATACGGCAGTATTCTTTCATTCAAACATATTCTGGAAAAAGATCGCTTGTTCCTCGACTGAACAAACATGACCCACTAAAACAAATTTTCAATTAATAACATATTTTTATTTTGTCATCCATGAAAATTTATGATAAAAATAAAACAATGAAAACATTGCTGATATTTCAGTTCAAGATCAACAAAAAAGCTGAGTAAAGACTATACTTTAAAAATGCCCTCATTTAACTAAAATTAATATTAATGCATCATATAGTACTTTTAATTGTAATTTTTTTGTTAATTATTGATTGGAAATAAATTATAGATTTCTTTAATAAGCATATTTGTCTTAGTAACAAAAAATAACAGTATACTTTTGCTGTTTTGTAACATAACCCTATGCATTACACGAGTCCTTTGTTTCATATAGCACTGATTCGTATAACACGGCACTTTTTGGGACCAAACTATGATGTTATACAAGGGATACCTATTGAAATATATATATGTTACCGCTAAAGCTCGAAAGCCGTTAATGTGTACATTACCTAGCTAATCTCCTGATTAACTAAGGTGATCCGTGAACGTGCGGAATCAAGAGTTTTCCACATTTTACCTAGGTAATCTGCACATTAACGGCTTCCGTATCGTTAAAGTTCAAAAGTTTGTTTCTCTCATTTCCTTTTCCTACTCCTTCCCTTCTCCATCCACTTTTAATTTGGTTCTGCCAGTGTCTTGATGTCACAGGTTGTTCTTATTTCTTATAATTTGCGTCGGCTGCCAGTGCGTAGCATAGCTAATTCTGTTTTCAAATTCGTTACTGCTTGTTAGCGCGTGAATTAGTGCCGTGATTTTTTAAATGTAAATTTAACTCCTAGCATGCAAGCAAGCACCGAATTGGTGAGTACTGTAAAATGAAGAAAAGATTCTTCGCAAACCTCTTTAGCGAAGATTCAAAATATAATAGTGTTTTAATGACAAAACGAAAGTATGATTCCATAATTGAAGATGTAAAGCGAATAAAAGTTTCCAAGAAGAAAGAATCAGCGATCAGTGGCGTAGCGTGGGTGTCAGCCGCCCGGGGCGGAGGAAAATTTCGCCGCCCCCTTATCTAGGTATCTCAATTTAAAAGACAGTTAATTCAGTTTTGTCACAGAATAAGTAATGAAAAATTCTGTGCTCATTTCAATTGGTCCGAATCGTAGGTGCAACAAAAATATGAAATGAAATGGTTCAAATTTTTACAAGATATTATTATTATTTATTGTGAAATTTTTCCGGCCCCTAAAAGTGCAGGCCGGGGCGGCCGTCCCTGCCGCCCCCACTACGCTACGCCACTGCTCGAGACTATCGAATAATTCAAAGGTATGATGTGTTGACTGTACAAGGCTGTGAAAAACTCATTGAGCCGTTGTCAGATGAGCGAGAAAGTGTGAAAAAGTTTGTCCATGCCGAAGAATTGTTTGACATATTGTATTCGACTCATTTGTGAATTGGCCACGTGGAAGAAACAGAATGATCAAGCAATTAAAAACATTTTTATAAAAACATAAACCAAACCCAAATAAAAATGTTTTTAGATTTATGCGAACCGTGTCAACAAAAACAAAAAAGTGCGAAAAAGGGTTTGTTGTAAAGCCGATTATTTCATCGCATTTCTATAGCAGATGCCAGGTGGATATCATCAATTACCAATCTCAACCAGATGGAAAGTTTAAGTTTCTTCTCGTATACCAAGATCACTTAACAAAATTTGTTGTATTAAAGCCACTCACATCAAAACGGGTGGATGAAGTAGCCTATAACTTGCTGGATATTTTTCTCCTTTTTGGCGCTCCAAGTATTTTGCTTTCTGATAACGGACGTGAATTTTGTAATAAAATCTTAGAATGTGTAACACAATTGTGGCCAGAAATCAAAATGGTTAATGGCAAACCTAGACACAGCCAAAGTCAAGGAAGTGTAGAACAAGCGAATCAAGACATTGAAAACATGCTAACTACTTGGATGACTGATAGCCAAACTAACAAGTAGAGTGAGGGCGTACGATTTGTACAATTCACGAAGAATCGTGCCTATCATTCTCCAATTAAAAGAAATCCATATGAAGCCATGTTTGGTTGTCCCGCAAAAGTGGGATTGTCTTCATCTATTATACCACAAAGTGGTATAATAGATGAAGACAATAGACAATAGTGGTATAATAGATGGTATATTACATTCGATAAATACTGAAGAATATCTTGAAAAATTAGAAGATTCACAAGATACTGTGATTATGAGATCACAGTCAAATCTTACTCAAAATGACATTCCGTTATCCCCTGCATCTACAGAATCACCTATAAAAATACAATAATTTATCGATAGTAATCTTAAACTGCCTTCTACACCATTGATTAAGGAATATTCAGTTACCCTGCACCTCCAAGGAATCACCTATGCAAGTTGAAGAAGTCATCACTGAGTTACCCTGAACTTCAGCAGAATCGCCATCACAGTTTCGTACAGAGCCTGTAAAGAGCACTATACAAGACAAGTCTGTATTGTTTGCTCAAAAGCAGCATCAAGTGCTCACAAGTGTAAATCGTGTGATATGTTTGTTCATGTAGTTGGTGGTGAAGTAGATCCTAAAGAGGAAGGATATGGTAAGAATGTATTGTGCAGCATCTGTAAAAAAATATGAATCAGAAAATACAGTGTGATGAAGCCAAGAAATGTTTATAAAAGCAAGCAAAGAAAATGTTAGCAGTTTCTAATGCAAAGCATACAAATGTCAATGAAGGTGTCACTGTGAGAATTAAAGTACCCTAAGAAGACAGAGCAAAAACTGATGCACGCTCAATTTTAGCTGTGGTTCTTAGTAAAACAGATGATGGCTTTTATAAACTTGGTACTAAAACGAGTATCTTAAAACAATTGTATGCAAAATCTGAATTTAGTGTTTGCAAAGAGAGATTTTTAACGAAAGAAGATTCCCTGTGTAGAAATATCTTTACGTCAAACAGCAATAAAACAATCCTTTGGTATTGGGCAGGGTTTCAGAGAATGTGACTACAAATCTAAATGTACCACAAATAAGTGTGCTTGTTGCAAAAACCAATTGCTATGTAATTCAAAGTGTCACCAATCTGTAGATTTCACTAATAAGTAAGCATAGTTTTATCATATGTTTTGCAAATTCATCTCCCTAATTGTAAAAATATTTTAAACCGTTTGATTTTTGTATCACAGTTTTTTAAATTGATGATTGATATCAACTGATTTGTTGATTGTATTAACTTGATTCTTTAGATATCGAAAATTAAATAAATATGTTAATTTAAGCATACAGAAATGTTGCTGTTGTTAATTTAAGCATACAGAAATGTTGCTGTTGTTAATTTAAGCATACAGAAAATAGTGAATAGCACTTGTATATTAACACAAGTACTGCTCACTAATACTGGAAGTACAGAATCTGATCAACATTGTGCTAGTAATGCTTCAACTATCATCATCAATGATTAGCTAAATTAGTCAGGATCAGATTTAATGTCCCCATAGCAAAAAGTTTGCCTTTTACCATATGACTATTTAACTTAGTGATTCCCAACTTTTTTGAACCATCACTCCTTGGTTCCATAAACTTGCACCCAACACTTGTACCACTAACCTGTTCCCTTGTTGAGAAACGCTTGGAAATATTCCTAGAAAAACTTTATGAACCTCACACAGTGTCCTTACCGTACAGTTTTCTCCATATCTGGAAACCATTAAACACAATGTTTTTTCTTATCCATTTTAATAGAGGAAAGGGAAAAGTCAGTAACCCCCAACCCTCACCTGTGGTCACCATTCAGTCACCCTGACTCCAGTACCTCTTGCTTCTTTTCACCACCAGATTTACTCACCACCCCTAAGGGGTATCACCCACTTTGGGAACCCCTGATCTGTCATGTTGGGGTTGAACTCTGATGTTTCATCATGTAAGTGGGATTCTTATCTTATTAAGCATACAATAATTTTTATGTTTTCAACTTATCAATTAAAATAGTTACAGGTAGCTGGAAATATTTATTTATTTTTATAAATATAAATTTATAACATTTTTATTATCTACAAATATATACACAGTTGTAGAAAATGTAATGATAATGAAATAACAATAGCAAAAGTAACGTTAATTTATATTAGCATATTGTTTTATAAGCAATAAAAAATTTTAAACAGATAATTAATTTCTAGTTTTATAGTAACATTTTTTGAGTACTTTCTTAACACAAAAAATACACAATCTTCAAAATTTACAACTTTAATAAGAGTAGAGCAAAATAACTAGAAAATAATTTTAATAATTAAATCTACTAAAGAACTTTTAGAACAGTTCCATGTGAAATTTCATGGTAATATTAAATTAAAACTTATTCAGACAATTTATTGATGTTTGAAGAAGGATAAAAGGAAGTAACAAAGCATACAATTTACATTGTAATACTAAGTATATTTTAAGTAAATATGGCTAATTGTGTTGTTTTCATATGAAAAACTTGCCTATTTCTTCATTTAATCTGAAATTTAAAAGAAATTATAAATTTATATTAGAGTTATATTTAGTTTAATAGATGATAATTTGTAAAATTAAGTTTTTGTTGTTCAATTTATCTCCTTTATCAATATTCATTACTAAGAAAATTGAAATAATAAAAAAATACCAATTTAACAATAAATAATTCAATCTATAATTATCCATTTATTATTCTAAATGAATGATAAACATATCTAGTGTACCAATTTAATTTATTTCAAATTTAAGTAGCATTAATAAATATTTAAAGTATTGGTCTAATAGATAAATTTTATTATAATTGTTCACAAATCTACAATGTAAACAAAACATTTCTGTGGAAACTAGTTGTAAAAATATTTGTTAGTTTGTTCTTTATATCATCATCATAAATGCAAAATGAAATACAAAATTTGAAATAGATTTAACTTTTTTGATTTATATAAATACTAAAATTTGACAAACTTCTAAGTACTTTATTTAAAATTACATTTTTAAAAATTAGCTTTTCTATTTTGCATTATAGTTTGTTAATAAATTATTATTAAACTTATAAATTTACAACAGTTGACTACTACTAAAATAAAAAATTTAATTTAATTATAATATATACTAGCCAATGTTTATAAGATATATAAAGTCTCAAAAGGGAAAAGACTTTTCTGCTTTGGGAAATTATACCAGTAAAATTATTCATAAAATCTATACTGAAACCATTGGTTTTTATCAATTNAGCACCACAACATCAAGCTCGACTTGAAGCTCTTCAATTTCTTATACTATACAACTAGCAGTGAATTCGTATTTTGTTATTATTTTGTGTTGTGTTTTAAATATAAATAATTCAATTACATTATTATTATTATTATTTGTTGACTGGTAACCTTTAATATTTTGTCCATATATAAAAGTATCTACTATTTTTACTAATGCATAAATAAATAGTTATCCCTTGTATAACACCGCAGTTAGGTTGTGAAAAAGTGCCATGTCATGTGAATTAGTGCTATATAACACAAAGGACTAATACAAAACATAGGGTTAGGTCCCAAAAGTTAGCAAAAGTGTACTATTTTTTTGTAATTAAGAGAATTACATTTCAAACATACGAATGCTAAGGTGGCTTTTGTTTTCCGCTAGACTTATTACACCATCAATGAAACAGAGGACAAACTTTAGAAAGACTTTTTATTTATTTGAGTATGCATTTCGGATAATTATATCCCTTTTCAACTCTTGTGTTACAACTATACAGGGAAAATTAGCATAATGTATACAAGTTAGCAAAATTTTACTATGATGTTATAAAATTGTAAAAGAACAATAGGAAACTACATGGATTGTGAGAAATGCAGGAGTTGTGACATTAGATAAAATATGGATGGTGATTATTGATTAACAGGTATAAGCTACTATAAAATTGGAAATGATTTACAAAAGGGAATGATTTAACATAGATGTAAAAAATTTTTTGAACTTACAGTGAACATGATGATGGCGGCCCCCATCACTAAGTTCAAAAAATTTTTTACATCTATGTTAATCGTTCCCTTTTGTAAATCATTTCCAATTTAATCATTATAGTAGCTTATACCTGTTAATCAATAATCACCATCCATATTTTATCTAATGTCACAACTCCTGCATTTCTCACAATCCATGTAAGTTTCCTATTGTTCTTTTACAATTTTGTAACATCATAGTAAAATTTTGCTAACTTGTATACATTATGCTAATTTTCCCTGTATAGTTGTAACACAAGAGTTGAAAAGGGATATAATTATCCGAAATGCATACTCAAATAAATAAAAAGTCTTTCTAAAGTTTGTCCTCTGTTTCATTGATGGTGTAATAAGTCTAGCGGAAAACAAAAGCCATCTTAGAGCTCGTATATTTGAACATAAGACTAGACAAGAAACGTATCGTATAAAACAGAATTACATTTATTAAAACAATTGATAATTAATTAACAATCACAATCAAAAGTGTTGCACATTAATTTTCTCTTCACTGCTAAACACTGTTAACAAGTATGCTTTCTTTTTGGAAAAAATATCATCTGAGCTCTCCTGTTGACATTAACCTGAAGTATCAGCAGCATCTTGATTTTCCTCTACTTTTTCATAAAATCTGATATTTTAATTTGCTTGCATTTGCCTAAAAGATGATTAAAAATTTAATCATTTTATGTAATAGCTTTTAATTTAATCTATAAAAACAAAACATGGTAACAGTCTTTCTGGTTCATTCAGAGTACCATCACCATTAATGGTGACACCTGGTTTGTAGGAAAGTTAGGGCAAGAAGAAAAATTGTACAATCAGTTCTCATCAAATAAAACTTGGCAAAAGGCACAAAATAACATTGAAAATTTCAATATTCTAAAATCCATGTGCAAATATGAGATAACATGCATGCTTGCTTGAATATAAAAATATTGAGTGATGGTGTTTGCACTTACCATGTTTCCCTGAAAATAAGACCTACCATAGGTTTTGCTGAATTGCTAAATATAAGGCCTACCCCCAAAAGTAAGACCTAGCAAAGTTTTTTTTACTCATAACGGTCATCGACAGAAGGTTGAAAGTGGCCGTTGGCTTTTTGAAAGTACAGCCACTGATTGGTCAGCAGACAATCATGCCACATGGCATGATTTGCATAAAACTATGGCTTGGGAATCACAAATTTGCATAACGTTACGGCTGGTGATGGCTAATTGGTCGGCCGGGAATCACACCACATGACATTTCCATAGTGCTACGGTTCAGTAAGTACTAATTGGTCATCGAGCCTGATGTCAACACTATAAAAAAGTTAAGTTGAAGCGAGAGTGGGAAGTAGGCCCACCAGTGGCCAAGCAATCTTTGTCCCCGCACTTGAGTAGACTAGACCCTGAACACTGAGACGTTCGGTCGTGGGTTCGTGCCGCGATCGGACAGGCTGGCTGCTTGGAGTTTTCTGGGTTTTCTCCTTGCCAATAATGACTAAATAGGAGGCCAGTTCCCCATAAAAGTCCTCCCAGAAGGCATTCTTGCCCCGCACGTGCGTTTAGGCTGTTCAGATATTGCTGGCTAGTCGGTCGCATAGCGATCAATAAATATGTCATTCAGAGAAAGAGCCTAAATTGAGCTATACTTTCCATATAAAACTGAAAACAAAGAAAGAGGGTGGGAAGTCCACTCCAGCATGGGAACTTCATAAGTTCAGTTGTTTTATTTAAGTTCAGTTCGACACGACTGGATATACGTCACTCTTGTCTAAGTTCGACTTGGGAATTTTTTTGTTCAGTTATAAATATGAATTCTTCTTCATGGAAAAAATAAGACATTCCCTGAAAATAAGACCTAGCACATCTTTCAGAGCAAAAATTAATATAAGACACTGTCTTATTTTCAAGAAAACACGGTAAAAATTATGATGTTTTGCATGGGAATATCTCCAATTCTTAAACTGTGTTAGAGCAAAACTGTGTTATAGGAGGGATACCTGTATAACAAAACATTAAGTTTGTAAATAATTATGCAGTAGAGAAAAATAAATGAATGTAAATTCTGAATATTCAGGATATCCGTTTTCTATTTTTCAGTAAAATGACAATTTTATCAGGAAGATAATTCTATAAAGTTTTCAGATTTAATAAGCATATTTTTTATAATCTAATTAATACTTACCAATTTCTACAATATTATATGCACAAGAACTAGAGGCTAATATGATATGAATTGTAGGAAATTCTACAATACTCTTTCCTCTTAAGTTCACTTCAAGAGTTTGAGATTTATCAAGTTCATAATACCTGAAAATTTAAAAATGTGTATAATTATATATAAATTTTTTATATAGTTTTTTATTTTAATAAGTGTAATTATAAAAAAATGTCTTCATAAAAATGATAAATAAATTAATAGTAATTTAATTTGTGCATTAAATAAATTGTTGCAAGAATTTGTTGGATTATTTTTGGCATAGAATTAAGCTTAGATATATTTAACTTAAAAATTCAATTAGGGTTTATTATATTAATAGAAAAGCCGTTGTGTGCATGCGCATGCTTGAATTCCTGCAATTTTTGTCCAATCCAAATGAAATTTTGGTTATATTTATTTTGTTCTGACAAAGTATAAGCTATTTATTTTGCAGAAATATTGGTTATAGAATTAACATTTTATCAATTTCAGATTGGTGATTGCACTTATGTTGCAGTGCAGTGCAGTCATCAGTGAAAAATGTCTAGGGAGTGCATAAGAATAAAACTGGTTGAGTAAATTCTAGATCTAAAAGAATAAGAACAATCATAAAGTCTGACTTGAGAAACATTGAGTAAGAATGGCTTTATCAAGAGCTGCAGAAACAGCACCACAACATCAAGCTCGACTTGAAGCTCTTCTCAATTCTTCAATCTCTACTTTCTCATAAAAAATATTTTGTTATGCTTGACACGAGAATTTCTAGTGTTTATATAATATGTGTAAATTAAAAAAATAGAAATTGTATTTTATTGTACATAAAAACTGTGATTGGAATTGCCATTACAATCACACTGAAACAGCTATAGCCTCCTATATGCTTTAAGCTCTAGCAATATTCTGTAAATTATAAGTTGGTGTATTTTTGTCATTTTTAGGAATTTTGTTCATCAATATAGGAATTTATTTTTAAAGATCACCAAATTTTTCTGCTTAAAATGTGAGAAAATCTAGATATTTAAATTTCTAAAAAAAATTACCTTTTTTCATTTTCCTTATAATACAATGCTTTTATTCCATTATGCCCCACTGCTTGATACATTATTAACTGACGTTTTATTTCGTCTGAAAAATCACCTGAAGGATATTCAGGATTTAAATATTTTTCCAAGGCAGTATTTATAACTGTAGTTTCTGGAATTCTGAAAATTTTAAAACTATATGAGATGTACTGTAAAAAATTAAAGATATATGTAATTCTCTAACATTGCAATATATGTATATATCTAATCATACACAAAATACTGATGACAAATTTTGTAATTTTTATTAAAATTTATCATCAAAAAATACAGCAAAGCTCACTTATGTGACAATTTAAAATGTCAAATGTTAATTTAAACATCTTTTACAGTATTTGGTATTATAGCAGAATTTAACTATTTAAGAACAGTATTATGTTCAAATGCAATATATTCTGAGTTTTTTTAAGGAAACTCTCAAACACCTCTGTACTGGTTCCAGCAGGTACATTTCCATAAATCAAATGCTATTATTTTTGAGTAATACACTATTTCTATACACTATTTCAAAAACACTATTTTTATACAAATTTATATATCTTAAAATTAATCATAGAAATTAAGTCAGAGTTTCTTTAGTCATTCATCATATGGAGGAGATGACTCTGAAAGTTTTGCAATACAAGAATACTTTTATTAAAGTATTCTTGTATTGCAAAACTTTCAGAACAAACAAGAATACTATAAAGTATTCTTGTATTGCACAACTTGCTTAAAACAATATTTTTTATGTTCAAAGTAATCTCCTCTGGCTAAAGTACACTTATATAACTTAGTTTCTCCTACCAAAGATCAAAAGCACAATGCCTCTCATTTTCTGGAATTCTATCAAAATACTATGTTATGGAAGCTTTAATTTCATTCTCTGTGTTAAATTTTCAACTCCTCAAATGTTTTTGAAATTTAAAAAAATAGTCAGAAATCACACAATGCCAAATCTTGTTAATATGGTGGATGTTCAATGATTCTGATATATTAGTTTGAAGGAAATCAACAGTCTTCTTGGTGTGTGTGATGAAGGATTAGCATGATGCAAAATCAGACTTCAAATTTTCAGTAACTTCAGAATTCTAAGACGACAAACTGTAGTATACCAATTACCTGTTACTGTTTGTTGTTCATCAAGCTTAATTGCTTTTACCAGACCAGTGCTAGGGAAAAAATAGCAAACATGACTTTTTTTTTTTTTATTGCTTTCTGCCTTTTCACAGTTGATGGAATTGGATCATCTTTATAGATCCACTTTCTTAACATGTGAGACAGTCATAAAATGGTATGAATGTCTCATCATCTGTGACAATTTTGGAAATAATCTGGTGTCCACCTTGGTTCAACATCTCCAGAGTTTTCTTAGAAATTCTGACATGCCCTGACTTTTGGAAATATGTCTACTGATGAGATATCCATTGATATATTACTTTTTTTTAACTATAACTCCTTAATCAGAATGTCTGCAACTGCAGAGGCTCCAATCTGTAGTCTCTCCTGTATCATTTCATTGGTACATCTTTAATCTTCTATAATCATAGATTGGACAGAAGTCACATTTTTAGGAGTCACTGCTGTTTATGGACATTCTTCACAGTTCATTGTGGAAGAAAGTACGATCCCTCTGAAATTTTTTGTACCACCTAAATACAATAGTAAAGGATGGAGCATCATCCCCAAAAGCCAATTTCAATCATTTATAACAGTCTTTGTCATTCAGTCCAACACAAAAATCATAGTAATAATAGAACTTTCAAATCAAATCAAAAATCATAGTAATAATAGAACTTTCTAGAAAAGCACTTCATGATTTTCTAGAAAATCATGAAGTGCTTTTCTAGAAAGTTCTATTATTACTGTACTATTTGAAAGAGAGATCTGTCTCATTTAGATTAAGGGAGATTGATGAAAGTTATTTATGCATAGTGTGTCATATAAAGTATATTATTAAAAAAAATAAACACTTTAATTCATCATGAATGGTTTTCTTGTATTGCAAAACTTTCAGAGTAACCCTAGTATTACCTGAGAAATTTTGTTCTTATTTCAGTAAAATATCTATCAATAAGTTTTAATACTGAATGAATAAATATTATATTTAGAAATACAACTATTATATTATCAATAAATACAAAAATATTATTAAAATCTACTGAAAACTTAATCCAATTTAATTATTTGCATAAATTAAAAAGTGCATAAGGTAATTAGATTTGGATAATATAAATTAATATCTGCTGTGTGTGTAAAACAACAAAAAAAAATCTAATACAAAAATGCAGCTGTTATCAAAATGTATCACTAACTCGTATAAGGCCATCTCTTATTTTATTAAAGTTAAACACTTGTTCTTTTGACTTATTAATTAACAAATAGAACAACTTATGAAATTTATATCCATCAGTGTTTTGAATGTTGGTATAATAAATTTATATTTCTGTTTTTAATTTTATATAAAACTATTATTTTTCACAGATGATTTACTTACGTATCATTATATATGACATTGGCATCAGAAAACACCCAATTAACTTTCCAAAAAATTAAATTTTCCCTGAAAAACATAAAAAATTATAACATTTCATTATTATAGTCAAAATAAAAATTTTAAGTATCGAATGAACAGCTGGCTTCTTTTATTGGACTATTTAAAGCCAATCTATTAAGGAATTTGGCTAAAGGTAGGCAATTAGGTCACCATCTTTTGTTAAATTTAATTTAAAATATTCTGGAAGTAAAGATCAGCCTAGAGTGGGACCTGAAAATTGAAACTTATACTTTATCATGCAAATGATTTGCTAATTATGCTACCTGACCTTCATCCAATCTTCACTTCCAGACTAATTAATTAAATCAGCCTGGTGTGGGACCTCAAATTAATCATTTCTACCAGAATATCCTAAATTAGGTCACTATCTTTGGTTAAATTTATTAAATAATTTCAATAGAGGTAGGCAATTAATTTATTAGCCTTAAATAGCCCAATAAAAAATCTGGCTGTTTATTTGATATACAATCAACCCAATAATTTAAAAGTATTATTAAAATTTTAAAATACTTCTTACTGAACAGAATAATAAGAACTGTTTGATATCCTTCTAGTGAAAAGAGGAGGCTGGATTCTGAGTGTAGTTCCCCGCTTTCGAGCTTGTTTTCTTAAATTTTGAAGTTTCTGCATGCAATAAAATTTTATAAATAATCAATTATTTATATTTTCAATTATTAGAATTCTATCTTGGTAACAAGATACATCATGTTTTTTAATAATACAGGAAATGTCTGATTTATTATGTATTTTCAATAATTTGCATATTAATTACATAAATCTTCCAATTTTATAACTTGATTTTTTTCTTTAATGTACAGAGTTCTAAATTAAATTAATATTTAAACTTTATCAGTTTCTACATGTTAATTATGCTTTTAAAAGACTTAAATTGTTAAGAAAAATGTTATTAAGAAATAATTTTCTATAACATTACTTCTTTGCACTAAGTTAACAATTCAAAATAATGAATTTTAAGCCAAAATATAATTTTCGTTCAAACATTATATATAATTGTATATGAATCTAGAAGAGCTTGTAAAAAATGCATATAACAAAGAACATTTACATTATAAACAAATTATTTCAAATTATTTACAAAGAGCAAGTAAATGTCAAAACAAAATTGAACAGCAATATTAAACAATGGCAATTTATCAAATGTTATTTTGTTTCTTTCTGTTGGTATATGAAAATAACACAATATACATTCAGTTATTGTTTAGTAATATTTTATCAAAGAATAACACATAATGCGAGTTGATTTTGTTAATAAAAATTAAGACAAAATGAGGATGGTATTTGTCTAAATGTGGAGCAGTATATCAGAGTGATTAAACAAACCAAAACTACATGAAATCCATGATTTTTTTCTGTTGAATATTCTTTGAAAAGTAGAAAAAATTTTTCTGGCACCAAAAGATTAAAAAAGTAGCCAAACCTAACATCACTGTTTGTACCTCTCGATATGCAAGCTAGCACATTTGCATGGGACCATATCCATTTAAAGGAATGGGTCTTTAAACCTTAATCCCTATTTTCTGAGTACAGTACAATGGTCTGTTAAAACCAGATGTTTGAATTGCTGTACAATTGGAGGTCAGCTAGCAGAAGAAAATTATTCTACTTAAAATGGAACGTTTATTACAGTACCTATTTTTACTGTTCATGTCAAAAAGTGTAAAAAGCAACCTTTATTGGAAATAGTGTTATTCCTTGGGGGTTGTAAAAGTAATTTACAGTTCAGTTTAATAAATTCTGATAAAATTATCACATGATAATGATGTTTTGCAGGGCAACAGCAAAATTTATTTTATCAGTGTTTTTTTTTTTTTTTTTTGTGGTTTTAGACCCTTTACCGCTCATGATGAGCACAAAAAGGCCCCTTTATCAGTGTTCATTTAAGATGAGTTGACTATCTTTAAAGACATGTATTTTCTATGATTGCATTATTAAAATTTCAGACAATTAATAACAAAATTATTTTCAAAAAAAAACTTTTGAAATAATTTTTTAAGATAAACTACACAATTTCTTTCAGTCACTTGTACTTGCCACCACAAAAGAGGCCATTCTCATACCTGCAGGCCATAAGAGACATGATCCTTGCACTAACCAGGAAATTAACAAAACACAAGAACAAAGCAATTGCCATCGATTGCTTTGTTCTTGCATTTTGTTAATTTTTTTATGCCTATTTTCCATTAGGTATACATAATACTGTTTGTATTTTTGACTCCTAAGCCTAAATTCCATTAGGTGCACTTCTTGCATCAGAGAGAATGGACATTGTCACTGTAATACCTTTGTATATCAAAAACAAAGTTTTCATCTGTTTAATAAGTAAACAGAAGAAAATATCAGGAAGATAATAGACGAAAAGTATGGGAATCAGTCAAAAAATGACTCTCCAAGATTTTTACATTTTTGGACTTAGGGGACCTTGAAACATTGAGAAATGCAAAAACTTACAGTTTTTTTTCCTTTATGTATGTTAAAGTGTGTTTGTGTGTGGCACAACTTTGTTTATCCTGTTTAAAGCTTAATAATTCCTGTGCTTTCAAAAATTTCTGAAATTTTGCAGGAAGGTTTGTGTATCAGAAAGATTCATGCTATTAAATTTTGGTGGTTTAAGGTCGACAGGGTGTTCATGTGTCATATCTCAAGTAGGGTTAGGGTCAGACTTAGTGATGATTTTACTCATTATTAGCATTTACAATTTTTTTAAAACCCATCCCTATTCTCAAAATTAAGGTTTTTACCATTTTATAATAATTTAAAATGTAAACAGTTTTTTTAATGAAATATCATAACAGACAGCACCACCAGAATTTTAAATGTTGCCAGAAAAGTAAAGCAATTTGTTGCTAGATGTTTTACATTTAAATGAACCCACATTACATTTCTGGATTCCTTGTCTCAATTAATGGAAAATGTAAAAATTTTATCAAAATCAATCCATTAAATTTTGAGAACAAACTCAATTCTATAAGCCCACAAGAAATGTTGATGAATGTAAAACATCATGTGACTTTGTTGTGTGATTTGTGTGATATCGCTTTGTCGCACACACCCATGAAACAACCTTATATTTCAAAATTGAAGTCATGGACCCACATTTTTTATTGTAATTCTGGATTCCACATTGCAATTAATGGAAAATTGCAAAGTTTGATCAAAATCTATCAAACGGATTTTGAGAATGAACACAATTTTGTAAGCCTCATAGAATAAGCTTTGCTAACACTCTGCTTCAAATATTCTGAACAGAATATAAGAATACAAGATATGACAATTTAATTCCCAGAATAGCCACAGTGTCATCTGTGACATAATTATATCAAAACAACATGCATATTCATATTCAAACATGTTTGAACTAATATGTGCATAAATTTCAAGCTGATAGAGCTAGTTGTTAATTAGCTATTGAGAAGATAATAGTAATCTGCATGTATTCTTTGGCATAAAAATGGATGACTGAAATTTAGAGCAATGCATTAATATTAAATTTTGCATGAAAATCAGCAAATGTGCTACTGAAATGTTACAGTACGACTCAGAAACAAAGTGTCAGAGCATGCAATGAAAAAAGTGTCAGAGCATTCCAAGTTCATCATGCCCTAAAAAGACGTGCATGTTAAAATCATGCTGGTGGGAACAGTACACCAAGAATTTATTGAATAGGGTCAAGCATTCAACCAACAACACTATTAGAAGTACTACAGAGATTACAATACTCTATTTGAAGAAAAAGACCCAAACTGTGGCCCAACAAGTGAATCATTCATCTTGTGATGAATGATTCACTTGCCAAGTCACAGTGTACTCACTATCAGACATTTTCTGGCCAAAAAAGTGACTACCCAATTATATCATCCTGCCTTTCACCTGACTTAGCTCCCTGTGATTTCTGGTTATTTCTAAAATTAAAAGCTGAGCTGAAAGGACAAAGAATTTATAATATAACTGATATCCAACAGAATGTGAGACAGGTGCTCAACAGTATTGTGAAAAATGAGTTCCAGGCCTGCTTCCAGAAATGGGAACACCATTTAAGTCAGTGTGCAGTTGCATGAGGAAAGTACTTTAAAGGTGACAGTAGCCACTAGTGTACAGTTCTTCATGTATATTTTTTAAAGATGTATTCCAGAAATTAAATTGTCCCCACCTTATATTTTTTTATTTTAAAAATTAGACATATAAAAAAAAAGTTAAATTTCAAATTGTTTGATGAATTTTTCATGTCTTATATAATTTTGCAATTTAAATTATAAAAAATTCATCAAATATTAATGTAATATTGTCGATGCTTGAGTAGGCTTAATGAGGATAACACTGATTTTCATTGTATACAAAGATATCTTGGTCAAATATAACTTTATATGGAATATGACAAGAGACATCTACAGCTTATATTGTGACAAATATAAAGGAAACAAGTAGCAAACTTTTAAGTAGGATATAAACACTGTCAACATGCTACCTAGCTGACATACTGTGACCTAACAGGCATGGTCTATATTCTCAAATATTGTATTTTCGCTGTAGCAGATGCTTTGAAACAAGTACATTCTAAATACCGTATTTTATGGACTATAAGACGCACCTTAATTTTTAAGCAATTTTTTAAAAAAATAACGTTTTTACCATTTTTACCGCCTAAATTCAATCCTTTTATACAGATTGAAGCAAATGCTGATCCACCAATCAGCGCTTAGTAGCGCTATCGGACGTCCGCTGATCATACAATGGTTGCACGATGATCGCTGGCCAATCCGTGGTCTTGGATTCAGAACCACCAGTCATCTCGTAATCTGAGTTTCTATGGCGACAACTGTGGCTCGTTTGAAAAGAGAAAAAGCACAGGAATCGTACATCCAGCTGATTCTATCCTGACACCTCACAACTCATGTTTGTTGCATCGGTGCACTGCTGCTGCCAGGTGAATTCAATGTTGCCAGATAGAGATAGGTTTCCCATGGCATCAAATATATGGCCATTTTTAAGATGTGGGAATTTTAAATCAAACACTGGACATTTTTATATTAATTTGAAGTATAAGATGCACCTGAATTTTGGAGGCAATTTTTTGAAGAAAAAAGAGCATCTTATAGTCCATAAAATACGGTATATCATATTCCAATAATTTTAAATATATTAATAGAAATAAAATAATTTTTCAAATTCGCAAAATTGAAAATAAAGATTTAATTTATATCATGGTTGGTATAATTATTAAATGCTTTTATAATTTGCTTATAAATAATATCAATATGAAATAAGATTTTCTTACCATTGAAAGAATTCCTTTATTTGAATTATGTTTTATTTTATCCCTTGATGCATTATCAATAATTCTAGATGTTTCTTCCAAAAATCTGTAATCTATTTTAAAAAAGTTATTCTCAATATAGAAATATTGATGATGATTCAAATAATATAAACAAACAATATTTAGTCAACATGTAAAATTTACTACACTTATAATAATTGAGAGCCACTATATTATCATATTTTCTTGATTATAAGACATGTTTCTTTTTTATCCACTTTAATTTGCAAGTAGAGGCGCATCTTGAAATCAAGACATCATACATTTGAAGTTTCAAATAACAATTAGCAGACCATATGGTGCATGCATTATGAACCAATAATAGGTATTATTAACATTTAAAACACCTTCATGATGATGTTGTGAAACATTATTAAAACAATTATTTATTTTAATGCTACATCAGAAGAACATGGAAATAGAGCTGCCAAACATCTGTATTGTTTTTCTAACTTGCTATTAATTAACAATTTAATTATTTATAAATGTTTTCCTTT